AATTCAATGAAAATATTAATTTGAAATTAATCGCAACTGAAAGGTGCGGAACAGAAGAGTATGCGCCAAAAAAGGGAGTGGGAGGGGGAGGGCGAAAAAGTTTGACAAGTTGTAGTTCTCGCAAAAGGTTAGAGAAAAGCCTAATTTCTCCAAATCAATTTTGATCAATGCTGGGAAACAAAAAAATTCAAAAAATTTTTAGAAGAGTCCTTTAGGACAACCTAATACACAACAACCAAAAATTTTTACTTACAACTAATAATTGCTCATGTTTCCGAATCTCCCGCTCAATCAACTCTTCCCTAGTCAGAGGTGTTGCAGAGGCCTCCAATTCCTAAACAAATTATTTTTGTAGTTCCTCACTTCTTTGAATTGTCAACTCACTTTCGCACCACTTACCTCATCATGATGGTTTGACAGACCAGCTGGATGTTCCAGATGTTCTCCATCTACTCTCTCACTCCTCATGAACTTTCCAGTTTTCTCACAAAAATAGAAACAAGAAAGTTCTGAACCATCCAAATATTCCGCAGCCAACATCAGTTGGGCTAGCCTTAGGTGAAGCGGGATCAACTAAGAGAGTTATTAGTTTAAAAAAAATGAACAGTGAAATAAAAAAGAAGACTAACTTGTTCTCCACAATCTGCTGGCAGTGTGCAGTGCAGAATACGAGGAAACGGAGGGAAGACATTCGAGAAGGATGCCATGTACGCTAGCTCAGGTAGGATGAATGACTTGGTGGAGGCTGCAATACACGAGGATTTCTTTTGTAAAAAAAACAAGTGCTCTATTATCTGATGAACCAGCACAGTCTTGTCAATGCGCGCGAAAAGTTGACGTAATAAGGAGATATGCATAAGAAGCGATTTTTGTATATGACAGTAGGAGAGAAAAAACATGCAAAAGCGAGCGAAGAGAGAAGAATGAAACATACACATATACAATATTAGGTTGTCCCATAAGCCTTTTCAAATTCAGACCCTTAAATTGATATTTCTCCAGAACTAAAACACTTACAAGGCTGCAAATTTGTGATAATATATCTGAGCGAATAAGCTACATAATCACACATTTGCGAGGAACACAGAGCCGTTACACGC